TTGCTATAATTTCCTGCATAATAAAATAATCATTGAGGTAACAGAGAAAGATGATGAGAACTGCGGCACTGGCTATAAATGTGAGCTGCAGATTCCCTCCCTATCTCACACTCCCTAGAGGGTCTTGAGAGGCATGCCAGTACTCCCTCCCACCCCCAGATTTGGGGTTAATAGGCCTGTTCATGTTGTCATTACAATAATAACCTCTTGACTGATCCAGAGGTAAGTGACTGATTTATACACCAAATATTATATATCACTACAAAGGCTGCAAGAGAGTTAATTGAGTTAATTAAGACATGTGTCTTAATCCTTAATATTGTCCTATTGTCTGTCTGACTAGCTGAGGGCTGGTGTGTGTGTGTTTGTGTGCCCATTTTGGTTTCTTTTTAAAATCTCACCTTGACTCCATGTTGCTCAGAGGAGTGTTAGAGGAGTCTCTAAAGTTGGTTAGGCTGAGAGAGATTGACTGGTCCAGGTAAGCTCAAGGGTGGTGTAAGGATCTTTCAGTATCGCATCGTTTAGGGCCAAATTATAGATAACATTTCGGTCTAAACTGTGATCAGCTCCCCAATGTTAAAAAAACCCCAAACAGTTGTGCAAACCTCAATCATAGCATGGATAAGAGGTCTGTGCTTAACTCTTCTTTCACTACTATTATTTTCGCAATATAAACTGTCAGCCCAGGCAGCTTATGTCCCTAGTAGGAGAAAAAAGATACCAAAGGGCTGCCAAACCTCCCGGTGGGTCCTGGAAATCTCCCAGAACTACAAGTGAACTCCAAACAACAGAGATCAGTTCCCACGGAGAAAATGGCTGCTTTGAAGGGTGGACTGTGTGGCATATACCCTGCTGAGTTCACTCCTCTGCACAGATCCTGCCCTCCCAAGGCTACACTGCAACCTAGAAAGCTGCCTTTTTCTTAGTGTAGCTAAAAGCAGGCAGGGGAGAGCAGTTTCAACTGGGTAAAGAACAAAGAAACATTAAAATAACTTCCCCAGCACTGTGGCCCCAATCCATATCCCGCCATGGCTGCTTTTGGGGGCTAAATTAAACCTAAGTGGATCTGATAACAGATTCCCCAAATCAAGTGTAACTTGGCTGTTCAAACATGTCTGAAATTCTGAGACAGAGTCCAATGGCACCTTTAAAACCAACAAAGTTTTATTTAAGGTGTGAGCTTTCGTGTTGAAATTCTGAGAGTTTGTCATCTGTACAGTTTGGTACATAAAAGTCAGCACTAGCTGTTGCTCCAGGCAAGTGTTGAACATGGATGCGTGCATTTTTATTTATGCATGTATTTTGATATTTACAATCCATTTTTCTCTTCAGTCTCCATTGCATCTTCTCCTGTGATTTGGGAGTGATACCAGATGGTTACCATATATGGAATGAGAAATGCCAGATGTTTAAGCTGGATTCAGAAAAGGAAGAGATCATATTGCAAATTTACGTTGATTACTGGAGCATATGAGATAATGTCAGAAGAAAATCAGCTTGTGTGTCAGATTGCAGCAAACCTTTGGACTGTGTGGATAATGAAAAGCTATGGTTGATTTTAAAAGAATGGGTGGGCCACAGCATCTGATTGTTTTGATGCACAACCTGTACTCTGGAGAAGAGGCTACTGTTAGGACAGAATGTGGAGAAACAATGGTTTCCAATTGGCAAAGGTGTCAGACAAGAATGCATTTTATCTCCCTATCTATTCTATCTGTACACAGAACATATAAGGAAAACTGGATTTGATTTAGATGAAGATGGAATGAAAATTGGTAGAACAAATATTAACAATTTGAGATATGCAGATGATACCACATTACTGGCATCAAACAGTGAAAACTTGAAATGACTACTGATGAAGGATAAAGCAGAAAGTGCCAAAGCAGGATTACAGCTAAACATCAAGTAGAAAAAAGTAATGACTACAGGGGAATTAACACAACTTTAAGGCTGACAATGAAGAAACTGAAATTGTTCAAGATTTTCTGTTCCTTGACTCCATCATGAACCAAAAGGAAGACTGCACCCAAAAAATCAGAAGGAAATTGAGACTGGGGAAGGCAGCCATGAAGGAGCTAGAAAAGATCTTGAAGTATAAGGATGTGTCACTGGTGACTAAGATGAAGTTAATTCATGCCATAGTATTCCCCATTACTATGGATGGGTGTGAAAGTTGGACTGTGAAGAAAGCTGACAGGAAGAAAGTGGATTCCTTTGAAATGTGGTGTTAGAGGAAAGTTTTAAGGATACCATGGACCACCAAAAAAGACAAATAAGTAGATTCTAGACCAAATCAAGCCTGAACTATCCCTAGAAGCTAAAATGACTAAACTGAGGCTATTGTACTTTGGTCACCTTATGAGAATACAAGAGTCACTGTAAAAGACAATAATGCCAGGAAAAGTTGAAGGCAACAGGAAAAGAGGAAGATCCAACATGAGATGGATTGACTCAATCAAGGAAGACATTAATTCATAGGGTTGCCATATGTTGGAAGTGACTTGATAGCACTTTACACACCCTGGAGTGTAAAGATGAAAGCTGCGTGCCTTATAACTTGGCACTCTTGTGATCTCTTTCCTGTCATCAAATGGTACACATATGTGATCCTATGATACTAGTGTTATTTAAGGATTTCATCTTATTGGTTCCCAAATGAATATTACCCTGCTGCTATTTTTAACTCAGCTGTAATCCACAGTCTGTTAAAAGTATCAGGAGTTTTGCAAAGTACTTATCAGCTCTTCTTGAAGACCTCAATGAAAACAATACCATCTTTGACAGGACACTGAAAGGCAGGAGGCAGGATGTTCTGACCAGCAGCATTTTTTATTTACTTATTTATTTGATTATTTAGATTGTTCTTACCATGCCCCACTTAAAGGACATTTTTAGTCAAACGTCACTTGCCTCATTGCAAAAGAGCCCTGGCTACATAAAAGTTTCTGGTCACCTCTGTCCATGACACTGCAGTGGATTTCTTATATCACTCTGCTCCCATTGTCCAGATCCTGCAGTCCATAAGTAGGTCCTGTTGTGGCCCCCCGGCTCTTTGGAGGCGGGTAGAGGTCAGCCCGGCATGTATCCCCCCACACTAGCATTGAACGAAACAGCCTACATAAGATTTGGATAAGTGTGGAATAAAATGGCCACAACTTTATTGGTTACAGCTCTGAGAAGCATTGGCACAGCATGGGTCCCCAGATCCGCAGCATCAGCTGGCCTGGTGCCAGTCAATGTACCCATCCTTCGCAGCCAGCCAGCTTGGGTGGGAGAACCATGGGATGGCAAGTTGCTGGAGTTCACATGGATGATTGCCCCTAAGTGGTCTCCCCTGCCATCTGAGTGTGAGGGTGAATGCTGGTTGTCCAAGAGCTGGCCTGCTCCCATAAAGCCCTCACACCAAGACCCCTCAAGGGGATCCCTACATCCACGAAAGTGGCACGCTGATATCGCCAAAAGTTGTGACAAGTAATAAAGCATCAAAATAGCAATAACCATAAGCAACATGACTAACAACCTCAAACTACAAGCAAGAAAATTCACTACCCCCATTGAACCCCTGGACAGCTACCTACTATTCACACTGTTGTCTCCTCAAGCACTCTACCTAAGGTGGGATAGGTGGGCAAACCACTTGGAAGGCTAGACAAAGAATGGAGGCCAGGGAGTGTGGCAGGCCCCTTCTCCCTGGAAGACCCCTCCCCTGGACCCAACTCAGAAGTTGCTATAGGTCTTTTGAGTAGGGAGGGTCCAATTATTCCTACCACTCCTGCAACCCAGCCCCCTCCCAGCTGCCACTACCTGTACCTCAAGTCATCAAAAACCCTTCTTTTTGTGAAACAGCAGGAAAAAGGGGTTCCAGTAGTGGCAAGCAGTTTACTGAGAACATTTCGGTCCATGATTTCATTCCTGGTGTACCACCAAGAAGTCATTATTAGGATTGCTTCTTACATTATAGTTAATATTTTATCTGTGATTTTTTTAAAAAAAAAAATCCAGTCATGTTTCATACATATTCCAGAGACCCACAGATGACATGTAGTTGTGGTGAAAAACATGCATTTTGCTGCCATACAATGTATAAAAGTGACTTCAGATGGCTGTACTGAAAATAAAGGAACGGAACTTTGGCCTAAGGTTCTATTTAAAGCAGTGTAAGTTATCTTATTTTCACTACCCTTCAGGGCTGCTGACCTCCAGGTGAGGCCTAGAGGTCTACTCTGTACAGATATTTTTTTTTTAGACATTGGGGATCCTAATATCATTAGGATTGCTGCCATACAATGTATAAAAGTGACTTCAGATGGCTGTACTGGAAGTTTGGCCTAAGGTTCTATTTAAAGCAGTGTAAGTTATCTTATTTTCACTACCCTTCAGGGCTGCTGACCTCCAGGTGAGGCCTAGAGGTCTACTCTGTACAGATTTTTTTTAGACATTGGGGATCCTAATATCATTAGGAAACAGATCATTTCACACAAACACCCAATGACACATAGGTCACTTAGTGAATAAATACGGTGGATATATCCACACAGCAAGTTATTCCAGTCATATGCAACATCTTACCACAGAGACTGGCAGCTAACACACATTTTCTTCATATTTTGTGATCAGGTGGAGAAAGCCAGGTTCCAATGAATCTGCTTGAGAAATCACAACACCACAAACAGCTTATTGTAAAAAGCAACCACTACACGGATGCAATTTCAAGCAACCTTCACATAACTTTTGTGCGTGCCATCCAAACATATGGATGGAGTGGAAGGGGCACTGGAGTAAATGAACACTTTTCAGCTCAAGGGCTACTGCAGCTCCCATGCATACATTCTTTTCCCTGACCTGGCTTGATAGCTCAAAAATGGCCATGAGTTGAGTATGAAGAAGCAACAGCTGTCAGGACTCTTGCTGTCTCAGGAAATCTGAAAGCCCTGGGAGCCAGGCTGGTAGCTAATTATAAACTTCTGCCTGATGTATTTGTGTCTGTGGGAGTGCAATTCCCAGCCCCGCAGCCCCACACTGTGCTGAGAAGATCTATCAGCTGAAAGACGATCCAGAGGGGGCTTCAGCCACCCTGGGGCTGGGAAAAGAAGCTCAGAGAGGGGGAGAACAGGAGGAGGGGGGTAAGGAAACCCTGGCTGTAGTAGGCAATTAGAGGAGGGGGAGATATCATGGAGCCCACTTCTGTCCAGGATGATATCCAGAAGAAAAAGCAACAGAAAGAAAAAGCGAAGAAAGCAGAACTAGAAGCTCCCCCCAGACCTCTCCGGTCCCTGTTCTGCCTCACCCTCCAGAACCCAGTGCGCAAGGCCTGCATTGCTATCGTGGAATGGAAGTATCCTTTTGGAAAACTGTGGGGTGGCCTCAGGGCTGGCTTGTATGTGGGCTTGAGCCCAACAGCAGCCATGCATACAGAGCTGAGACTTGGTGGGAGCAAAGGCAACGAAGAGAGCGGGGAAATGTTTGTTAAGAGACTCTTCTGGACATTCAGGTGATCTTCTGTTCCTCAGAAGTGCTGAAAAAGCAAGTGGTCTTGACATTTATCTCTATCAATGAGAGCGGAAGAGGCTCAGGGGGCAGAGAAGATCACAAAAGAAAAGCAATATCTTGACCTTGCTTTGACTTGACAAGTGGATATATGTCTGTGAGTGTAAATCAGAAGTTTTCATTCAGAGGTTCAGCATGGAGGTTTGTGATTCTTTTCCCCCACCATCAAGTTGTGACCCTGGGTCAAAGGTGGTTTGCCATTGCCTGCCTGTGTGTAGCAACCCTGGTATTCCTTGCCGGTCTCCCATCCAAATAATAACCAAGGCTGACTCTGAGATCTGACAAGATCAGGCTAATTTGGGCTATCCAAGTCTTCTGATTATTAGAAGTATATAATTCCAGAATAATTTTTCTGGAACAGTTATGGGTAGAAAAATTGTTTGGATTTCAAACAGAGTAGGGAACATTGATTATAGTTATTGTGTTTGGTTCTTGTTACTCCCACTCTCTGCTTGTGACACACCATAACTCAGACAATGGGGGATTAATGTGCGTGATGTGTTTCTGGAATGATGCGAAGAGGATATTTCGTCCAGGGCAAAGTTTTGGAAAAGATGGTTTACAAGTCTTTTTGAGTCTTGCGATGGCATGATCAAGACAGGGATGTCAAGCAGGTAATCAAGGGAGTCAGAGAGATGAATCACATTGTTAGGGATCCCAGAAATGGGTGCATATTCAGTATTTCACTTAGATCGGACAAGTCGGTAAAATATCAGCTTTGGGTAAATGATGGACGAGGGAAGGGAGAGCAAGGCTCTGTGTGCTGTTGTTGTTCCAGTCCTCAACTGTTTTTAAATGAAAGGGTGGTGTTGGGTCCCGGGGCAGCAGTAGATAAGCTTGTGTATTTAAGCATTCTAGTTATTTAATCACCACCAAGGAAATGCCAGGGGACACAAATTCTCTGGCATGGTATATCATGAGATTTGTGAATTGTTTCAGTTCTCTCCTGTGAAGGAACATGTTAATCTTGCAGCCACCCTGGCCAGCCGGGAGCAGGGAATCTGGTTAGCTGGCGAAAGACAGTAGATGCAGATAAGTCCATTTGGGGGCAAAATCAGTCTGCAGGCCTGTGAAACGGAACTGTGAACTCGAAAGTCCATCAGTTAAATGTACAGCAAGCCACCCCCTCTAAGCCTCAGCTGCCTGTCATTTTTATAGGGGTGATAATACCGATCCACCAAACAAGGTTGTTGCAAGGATTATTGGGATAATGTACGCATACAGTAACATATAAAGTAGGAGTAGTACCAAAAGCATGGATGACCTAGATGCCCTTATGACAGGGTAGACATTTGGATGTTTAAGAAAGCAGGCGTCCCCATGCCAGAAGATGCTCTGAGCTTCCTGGAATGGCTCAATGTGTCTAACGTCTCTGTGTGTATATTTACCCACACACATAGATGCTTATGCATAGGCATCTCCATCTGCCCTGCTTCCACAGTTGTTCTTTGTTTCAGTGCCCAGTCACTCAACTGATAACTTTGACCTCATCTCTTTCCTAGTTTAGCTGTCCTCTTATCCTTTAAATGCATGTACGTGAAAGTTCCTATTTTTCATTATGCATGTTGGCTATTGGCTTGTGTTGAATTTGATACTTCATATCTGAGCTTGCTTGCCATCTCTTCTCATATTTTGGATCCCTGTTTTTATTGTATAGATGCATTACTTTTGAAAAAGCTTGTTGTTAGCTGCTGTGAGTCCATTTGGAAGAAAAGAAAAGAGGGGTAGAAATTAAATAAATCACTACTTTTGTTGACTATCTTAAACTGAAATTGACTATCGTAAACTGAAATTGATTGATTAAAGATATTTGTAATCCTCCTTTCCTAATAGACTGATGGTTCTCACTGTTTTTATTAGGTGTTTACTGAAATCCTGTACATGTTAATGTTTTGGCAATAAGGTGTATAGAAATCAAATATACAAACTGAGGACCTATCAGTTGGGAAAGGTGCTTCTACATCTGTTTTGATGTTAATATTGCAGATTTCAGAAGTGGATCTTATAGGCTATCTAGTCCAACCTGCTGCTCAGTGCAGGAAATCCAAAGCTAGAGTATTCCCAACAGATGGCTGTCCAGCCTCTGCTTGGAGACCACGAGGGAGTGAGAGACCACCACCTTTCTGTTGTCAAGCTGTTCTCACAATTAGGACATTTCTTAGGGCTCCTGGCAGCCCCAGTTGCCTGCATCCACTTGGTAGAACTGGGGATGAGGAGGACAGGCATCCTTCTGACCCTGTGATGTTGCTTCCAGCGCAATCCCAAACATGATGTCATTGCGTCAAGGAAACTCTGTAGGACTTCCTCAAAGCTCTATGGAAAACCATACAGTTGCAGGGGGGGGGAATCTTAGTGCATCATACTAATGGGATGACATCCCTTCTGGGGTCTCATTGGAATTGATGTTGGGGCCTCAGAATGATGCCTAAGGATATTAGGTATAGTTTTGCACTACGGAGATGGGGAGGCAAAGAACAAGTCTTCACTCTTTCGCATATGATATCCCTTTAGGATCTCATACTAGTAGTACATGTGAAAAGGACCACAGCCAATCAGATGTATATGACTCTATGGTGTGATGTGGCTGCAAAAAAGGTTAATGAGAATTTAGGCTGCATTAAGGGAAGTTCTACTGCTGCCTAGCCAAGTATCTTCCGCCCTTTATGGGTGCATTTTATTCTTTTCCCCTGAATACAGAACATTCCAGTTGTCTCTGCTGAATTTCATTTTGTAAAGTTCAGGCCAGATTTCCAAACCATATAGCTCATTTTGAATTTTATTTTTTTTAATCTTCTAAGGAGTTAGCTCTCCCCTCAGTGTTGTGTCATTGCAGATTTGATAAGTAGTCCCACCAACCTTCATTTTAAGTCACTGATAAAAATGTTGACGAGTACCAGGGCCAGGATGGAACATGAGATTTCCTTCCACTGCAGTGAAGTGCCATTGTGAATCCAACCATCTGTGAATCCACTTGACAGTACTAATATCTAGCCCATATTTAACTAGTTTGCTGACCAAAATATCATGGAGAACTCAGTCAAATCTTTACTGACATTATGTCCACAACATTCTCACAATCTACTAGGCTAGAGATGTGATAAAAATACAATAATAGCAGTTTGTTGAGATTCATTCTTGAATGCAGGAGAAGAGAGCTGAAACCAATGATGGAGCAAAAGAACAAGAAAACAGTGCAGTGGGGGAAATTATGCTTTTATTCCATTACACTGCCCCTGTGTATTTTGTCTACGCTTCTTCAGGGGAATCTAAGAATACAAATAAAAATAAGAATACATATATTGTCATTTAAAAATAATTAAAAGGCATGATAAAATGCAGTGTACACTGAGCATGCAAAAAGTGCATAAATGTATACAGAACAAAAATTCCATGAGAACTTTACAGATATCATGCAGGTGCAATACATGGTTGGAAATGGAAACATAATCCTTAGAACAAAATTTGTATACAACATGCTTGAACATTTACAAGTTAGAACAATATAGAACACAAACTGACTTGTATGATAGTATCAAGCAGTTCCCACAGCAAGAGAAGGTCCTTCAGTATCCTAGGATGCTATTTATTTACTTAAATCATTTCTATGCCATCTTTCCACTCAATTCAGGGTCCCCAAGGTGGCGAACATCAAAACAATTGAGGCATTAAAAAGCATTAAATGGGGAAGAGAGCTAATAAAAGTTATTGAGGGATCCCCCCCCCAAAAAAAGTCCATCTGCTGGAAGAAAACTGTGATAGAGGGAGCTCCAAAGTTCTCAGCACCACAACCAAGAAGGCTCTTTCTCACCTTGACACACATCTAGCCTCATGTGGCAGTGGCACCTAAAGCAAAGCCTCCAAAGATGACTGGAGTGGTTGGGTAGGTTCATATGAGAAAAGGTGGTTCTTCAGGTATGCTGGCCCCAAACTGTATAGGCCTTTGAAGGCCAATACCAGCATCTTAAATTGGGCCCAGAAGCAAACTGGAAGCCAGTGTAGATGGACAAAGCATAGAGCAATACGGTCCCTGTGACCCCACACCAGTCAGCATTCTGGCCACAGCATTCTGTACCAAGTGAAGCTTCCAGAGAGTTTTCTTTTTTTTCTTCTTCAAAGTTTTATTTTTCCTTTTCATAAAAAAGAAACATCATTCCATGATACATCATTCATCAAAATCGCTTATGGAGTCTTTTACTATACATCTACATTGATCCAATTGTACAGATGCTTCCATCTTTCCTTAAATACTCTTTCCTTCTGTCCTTGAAGAATTAGACTTAATTTATCCATCTCTGCTATCTCTAACAACCTAGATACTAGGTCATCTAACTTCGGTATATATTCTTGCTTCCAAAATTTGGCTATTAAAATCCTTGCAGATGTTAATATATAAATTATCAGGTATTTATCTTTCCACCTAAGACTCTCTGGCAACATGTTCAACAGCATAGTTTCCGGAGATAGCTCTATTTCAATCTCAGTTATTTCTAAGATTACCTTCTGCACCATTTTCCAATAACCATTGATCTTTACACAGCGCCACCACATATGAAAAAACGTGCCTACATTACCTTTACATTTCCAGCAGTTCTTACTGATCTTAGAATTACATTTGGCTATCCTATCCGGTGACCAATACCATCTATGGTATAATTTGTATATATTCTCTTTATAATTAACGCTTCTCATAAATTTTATTGATTTCCAGTTTTTCTCCCAATTTTCTATACTTATATTATGTCCTACATCTTTTCCCCATCCAAGCCATGTCTTATTAACTGTTTGTTC